ACTTTCTATGTAGACTTGGAGGAAAGCCTGGGTACCTTGGAGTCAACTAGAGCAGTCTATGAGAGAATACTGGACTTAAGAATTGCCACACCGCAAATCATCATAAACTATGCCTTCCTTTTGGAGGTAGACATTTTTCTTATGGTTTTATCACTGTGTTTCACACATTCTTACATTTAATAGTTTTGTGGACTGACTGAGATTCTGGTCTTTAAACTTATGCAGGAAAACAAGTACTTTGAAGATGCTTTTAAGGTCTATGAAAGAGGTGTCAACATATTTAAATACCCACATGTCAAGGACATTTGGGTAACCTATTTGTCCAAGTTCGTGAAAAGATATGGAAAGTCGAAGCTTGAAAGGGCTAGAGAACTGTTTGAGCATGCTGTTGAAACGGTATGCCAATTATCATTCTTTTAGCTCAGTGTCTGATCATAATTGTTCATGACATGTGACTTAGTTTTTCTTTTGAAAATTAATGGGATTTATTTTTGCATATATGTAAAAGCTTCAGCCAAAACTTAGGTGCTAATCTGTTCCACACTAATCATCTAGTTGATCATGGCCCTGACCTGTAATAGTTTTCTATTGAAATTGTGAGAGGTTCCTTCAGAGCATTGGTTCCTTTAAGAAGCAATGGGAGTAATCTTAGCCAGAAGAATTAGGGTGTAGAAGAGCATAATTTCATTAGTAGTTGAATGGCTTTTTGAATGGCTTTTTGACTTATTAGATGTCATCCTTCTGCAGTCTGCACTTTTAAGAGCTTCTATTGAAACTGATTCAAAATTTTACATTGTGTGCATTATCAATGTGCTATGATGCTGATACTGCTTTTATTTATTTATTTATCTATTTTTGCTTGTGATTATCAGGCTCCTGCTGATGCAGTTAAGCAGCTGTATCTTCAATACGCAAAATTGGAGGAGGATTATGGTCTAGCAAAGCGAGCTATGAAGGTCTATGATGAGGCAACCAAGGCAGTACAAAATGAAGAAAAACTAAGCATGTATGAGATATACATTGCTCGTGCTGCTGAGATATTTGGTGTCCCTAAAACAAGGGAAATCTATGAGCAGGCCATAGAGTCTGGTCTTCCAGATAGAGATGTGAAGACAATGTGTTTGAAATATGCAGAGCTAGAAAAGAGCTTGGGAGAAATTGACCGAGCTAGGGGAATATATGTGTTTGCATCTCAATTTCCAGATCCACGCACTGATGGTGATTTTTGGAATAAGTGGCATGAGTTTGAGGTTCAGCATGGAAATGAAGATACCTTCAGAGAAATGCTGTGAATCAAGGGAAGTGTTTCTGCAAGTTATAGCCAGGTAAGCCTTTATGAGAAAAACATTCCATTTAGTTTTTTGATACATTATATGGGTCTTTCCTTTTATTCATAAAGACTCTTTCGGATTCCCGTTTAGTTTTTAGATACTGTTCATGGTATAAATACAAAAGCTTCCCATTTAGTTTTAAGATACGTTATCTGGGTTTATCATTTTATTCTTGCCTAATCTTAAGAATTCTAGTTGAGATTTGCTTTTCATCTTTTATTCTAATTCTCTTTTTTGTTGATTTTTCAGACACTTCATTCTGCCAGAGTACATGATGCAGAAGGATCAGTCATTGACCCTTGATGATGCAAAGGATAAATTGAAGCAGGCAGGTGTCCCGGAAGATGAGATGGCTGCTCTTGAGAGGCAATTGGCCCCTGCATCCAAAAATCAATTCTAAAGACAGCAGCAGAAAAGTGGGGTTTGTGAGTGCTGGGGTGGAGTCCCAGACTGATGGAGGGATGAAACCAGTTGCCACCGAAGACATTGATCTGCCAGAAGAAAGTGATTCTGAAGATGAAGAAAGAGTTGAAATTGCACAGAAAGATGTTCCAACTGCTGTATTTGGAGGTCTTGTCAGGAAGAGAGACGATGGTGACAGAGATGCGGATGATGATACTGTACCAGCCAAAGATAGGGAAAGTGAGAGTCGTCTAGGAGCCCTTGAGAGAATAAAGAGGCAGCAAAAAACTTGATTTTAGTTACTAACCTTGTCTAATTTTGATTGCTGATATCTTTTGTTCATTTACGACGCATGTACCCTTTAAGCATTTCTGACATGCATTAAGCTAGTGCCTGCCTGAATATACCGACATTATGAGTAATTCCAATTCTTGTGATTACTGCCCCTGCAGCCAAAGTGCTGAACTTGGCCCTTGTTTTTCTTCAGCTCCTACGTCTACTTATGAAAAATAACCAGCTATTTTGTACTTGCTCCTGAAACATCACAATCCTTACTCATTGAAGATAATTTTTTCTGGTGAAGTAAATGCATTAATTCCAATTTGGTGCAATTTTCACGTTCTCTAACTATTTTTCTACAATATGATGAAAGAACGATAAAAGAACAACCACAAAATTTTGCTGGAAGAGCCAAGTAGAAATTCTACTACGTAAAGAAATGGATACAATTGCTAAAATCTCGTCCATAGCTTCGATAGAAGCTTCCCAATACACCCTATCTCACAACGCTCTTTTGTACTCAATAGCAAATTGCATCCATTATTGCAATCAAAATTCAAGACAGCATTAGCAAGTTTAACTTGGCCCTCCACATTTCATGTCTGTTGGTTAGCGACTAATTTGACAGAATATGGCACTTGATTGCCTTAAAGATTTATGCATCTTCCACTTTGCATTGATTGATCTTGGATGAAATTTCTTCACTTCGGAGACTTGCCATGTCATCCCTGGGCTGCTAGCAAAAATGACACTGCTGGTGTTGGCTGAATTATCAGGAGAGATGCGACCTATGTTGGAAAGTGGGTTCAAATCTCTTCATCACCATTGCAAGACAAAAAACATATTGAGCAAACCACGTTTGCCGCCACTGGGTCTCCAATACTATACCATTGATCTCCATGGTTAGCTACTGGTTGTCATGGTTGACTCTCTCTGTTTTCATCTTGAATTCCCTGCTGTTCATTTGTTAAAACATGAGAACTTTGCTGTCAATTACAAGAGCATCACAAAGTAGCATTGATAATGGAAATGAGAAATAAGAATTAAAGAAAAGCATATCTGCTTAAAATGAATTTCAAACTTAATCATAATTCTACTCAAGACACACCTTCAAGGAGTTAGAGTCACTATGGGTTGAGATGTTCCTAGAGTCTGTGGTACAGCTTAGTCGATGACAACTCAACAGAAAGTGACCTACAAATTGGAAGTACATGAGCAACTTTGCATCAGCTGTCATTCTTTGAAACAAATTGAACTTAGAAGCAATTTACCTACTCAAGGTATAATAGACTGATCAACATCCTCTCATTCTCCCAGCTGACTGAAATTGAGCACCTCCAAGAGATTAAAACCTTATGGTCCAATAATATTTAAAGGAAGAATCTTAATTAGTTTTACCATAAGACTGCTCATTGTACTAATTAACAAAAGATTTAAAAATCAGAAAGCCCATGCTTAAATGCTTGAGATTCAGGGAACATACCAGAATCATTCTTAATTTCTCTTGATGACAGTGCCTTTCTAATTGCTTTTTGCTCGTTCAATGAGCATTTGTTAGGTGTTTCAAGGCCAATGGACGGCTTACAAGTACAGCAATTAAACCCTATCGAAACCATAACACCTAATAGAACTCCAATCCATGTTTTGCATTCCTGTGGACAAATGAAAACAACCAACAAGCTAGATCATAACCACAAACATCAGTCTAAAAAATTAAAGAAAAACTAA